CGAACGCACGTACACGTGGCGGGACAGATGCGTGCAAACATTCTCATCCACGTACAAACACACACGTACACCTGTCACGCCACAAACACACACATACATACATACACATGTTACCGCGCGAATGTTACCTACGCGTTTCTTGGCAAGGGCGGCGTATCGTTGCCCAACGCTCGGAGTGTCCTGAATATTTCGTCACGGGGACATTATTAATGCACATGTTACATACCGCTCCGCGGTTTATAATTGGCCCGCACGTTGTGTGTCTACAGATAGCTAGATCGACATGTTATTACCGTGAACGTGTCGCCGGGATCCATCAGTACTTCCGCCTCTGTGTATATATATGAGAGCGATAAGAAAAATATTCCCTCACGCCATGCATCTCCTTCATTCTCGACTTCCCCCTTTCACGAGTCTCTTAACTCTTTGCACCGTAATTTGTCGTCGCGATTAATACTATTATCAAGACTATTATCAAACAGTCGCATGTCGCGGTGAAATTAATTAATGCAAAGTAAAAGAATAATTAGATTTACGTTGCTCCAAAAAGTCGATTTTTTCGCTTCGCGTTATTCAAAAATTAAAATAAGAACTCGACGTTCTCATTTTGCAGAATGCAACGTATTTCATTCGAAACGTAAATGTAATTGAAATTTTTTATGTTAGGATTTGGAATTATGGACGATGAGTGTGTATCCTGTTAACGCGAAATAATACAGCAAAGGGTTAATCGCGCTCGTAAGAGAGTCCGACGGGTTCCAGCGTCGTCTGGAACCCGTCAACTTTCTCCTTATTTGGCCGCGAGCCCAGCCGGCCATCTGGGCGGCATTACCGGCCAAACTTCGTCCACGGAGATGAGAAACGACTTCGCGAGTCTCTCCCTCTCAGAATAGATGAACTGGCAGCGCGCGAGTACGTTACTCCCCGCGCGGCGACGCGGGTTAATTATTCGCGGGTATAACGCGAGTAGTTACGAACACCGTCGAGCCAGACGACGCAGCGACGCACCTGTTCGTCCACCTTCCACCTTCCACGTCTCTCGCCTCGTATGTCGCGCGCCTCTCTCGGCCGAAGAACAGGGCCAAATGATATATTAGGAAGACGAAGATGATCTTGTCGCGAAACACATAAGAGGATAAAAATGAAAGAAAGAGGCAATTTATAAGAAAAAAAGAGCGAAGTTGTACGACTGGAAAAAATTGTAATTTCTTGTTCGTTCCAAGCTGAATAATTTTTTATCCGCAGATTCTTCAATTAAATCAATTTAACTTTAACTTGGCAAGTTTTCAAGTTTCAATATTAAATATTTCTGTCACAGTATATATATATATATATATATAAAGATCAGATTATAAATCTATTAAAATCTACTGGAAATTAAATCAAATATAAACGATTATCGAAGACAGTCTTATATCTTCGCTCATAACTTAAAACTTATGTCTTAACATTCAACCTGTTCTCCGACCAGACAAATCGATCATGAAACCTCTCACATGTGAATAGAATCTGTAGATTTCTTTGACGCAACCCAATCTCCCGATCCGACAATCCATTTGCGGCCCGCGGATGGAGAACCGCGAGGGTCGTCCTGAGACGAGAATAATGTCTGGCACATAATTTTTAGATGATATCCACATTTCGCAAGGCTTGAATAAATGCAAAAAGTTTGTAGAAATTTACATCATTTTATGAAATCAGAGTCACTTTATGATATTTCATTAAATTTCAATAATTCTTTAATATTATATTATTTAACTTTTTTTATATTATTACATAATATTAGATTTTATTATTCAATTTTTCTATCAAAAAATATCTATATATATATATATATATATATGTGTGTGTATCTATAATTTACTTTTATTAATTGATAATCTTAAGTAAAATGTGAATGACTCCTAGACAATATTCCGTCGGCGAATGGAGTTCCGTTGCTTTGCACTGCAATGTTCGTGTGCCAGGCGCCAAAGTCAAGTCGCCGTTACTCGTCGACGGGCGCCGCTCCGTTTTCTTTTTCTTTTTCCGGAGGCGAGCCCGTTCTCCTCCATGTCGCTTGACCATGATCTAACCCCGAATCCGTAGACGCCTCGCCACTACGTGGTCCGCGACTATCCGGAGGCCGGGGTGAGGTCCGCCCAAGAGCAGTACAGCTATTCGTACACCAACGCCAGCTCGACCAGCTCCACGGACCCGTACAGCGGCCGTCCTCAGAGGACCTCGCAGACCCAGGAGAGCGTCGTCAAGAGGGAGAGCGGCCCGTACGGCTCGTACTCGACCGAGAGGTCGACCAGAACGTCGTCCGGCGGCGGCCCCGGGAGCTACCGCTCCTCCTACGAGTCCACCGCTTCCGGTCGTTTGCCCGGCGGCACCAGCTACCGCCATTACTCCTACCGCGTCTAAATCCCCCGCATGCCCCCCCCCCCCTCAAGCCGATCGCGCACTTCCGCTCTCATCGATCTCGACGACCTTACCAGAATGTCTCTCTACGCGATTTTTCGACAGTCGACACCAAAAACGACAGACCGCGCGCGGGATCTGCGGTATCTCAACGCGCGCGAGGCGTGAATGATACATCATTTCCGACGTTGTGAAACACCGCAGACCTGCCACTCGCGCGGCACTTACATCTGTTCCGCGTTTGAAGAACACGTATGTAGACACCGCCGTACGCCGCAAGCACGCCCTGCGGTATTAGCGAAACCGGCTGGTGATGCGAGAAATACGCGGAAATCGAGCCGCGCCATTTGGCGAGCGCTTTAAAGCGGATATCCATCGATGACGGGAGGGATGCCTCTCCTCTTCCTTTTCAACGAAAATCACAAAGTTAGATCTGTACGAGTCGTCGACGGAGATTTCCTCTCTCGGCAGAGATTGCGAAGTTAAATCTAGCGACAGTAACGACAAGAACGTGTAAAGTATATATATTGAATAAATGTACTCTCCTTCTCCGCGAGAGAAAGATCACTTCGCCATATAAATTTGTTTATCGGGCCCGAGATTCATTAATCTGAAAGTCGTAGAAATTCGAATGGATATATTGGTTTGGTCGTCGATATCGATAAAAGCGGAATATCGTCTTTTTGTCGCATGCCCGACCTAGAATTCCTGTTTGTTTCTCCCCTCGTGTCAGTTTTGTACGCTTGATTTTTTTCTTAAAAACGTCTTTGATAAAGGAAAAAACAAAAGAAAGAGAAGGAATTTGGCGCTTTGAATGTGCATCAGCGGATCGGCGAGGAAAAACTCCTGATATTCTTGATGTTATCTGTTGTAATTACCGCTGTTACCGTAGCTCGAATCGGAGATAGAGCATCACGCAGAGCTGCATTTAGAGATAAATTAAAAGCTAGTCGCGCTAATAGCGAGAGAGCAATAAAATAGAATTATCGCGTTATTTTTTTTTTCTTTCGAGTTTAGTAATTCGCGCGATAAATAGTGGCGATATATAGAGCAGGCGGTTTACGATCTCCTAAAAATATATCATGTACATCCTGACTTTGTAAATCATGAATTTCGAGCGAGCTTCTCCGGAATTCATGCGCTTGGCGCGCAACGCGAAAGTTGTAAACAACCAACGGCAATAAATCGCATAAAATAGCACTGTAAAGATTTGTACTCGTATCATCCATCCTGTGCGAATTGACGTCGACGCTCAATCGCGGAATCGAACGCTGCCTGCGGGCGTCCCGAGTCTCGCGGATTGTGCAATCGTTTGCGTGCTGTTGAATGTCCGGCGTCCCTAATGCCTGGCTCCGTCCTAACTCGCGACTCACGTCTTTCCTTTCCTTTCCTGGGGATGTTTTCACCTTTCGTACAACCCGAGTGAGCGTTGTTTTTTTTTTTCGTGAATCATATTTCTAGCTAAAGTAGCGATCGGATAGTTTGTGTCGTTCCGATATTCTTACAAAAATGCGTCGTCCTGCGAAATGCCCGTCGCATCGTTTATGCAATCATAATTTCAGAAAATGAAAAAATCGATGCAATGCCGATAACAAAATATTTTTTGTGGGACAGATCGCTCTTTATTCGAGCGCGAGATATCATCTTGAGATGATATAAGAATTGAATAATAAAGAAGTAGATGGGATAATAATAGAAAACCATCATTTAATTCTTTACGGACTGACCTGACGTGATACTTACAGTAACATCACGTCATTTATTAATATTAAATTCAAAAGGTCCCAATTAAATTGTTTTAAAATTAAACACCTCAACTTTTCTAAAATAATCTGGAAAAATAATTTGATTTTCGATAGTTATTTGAGTTGTATCTCTAAGCTTATAGTAATTTATATATTACAATATTCTTAGAGAGATAAGATCGATTTATATTATCTCGTCCCCTGAAATTATGATTATCTTGTGTGAGATGTCATAGCAGGACATTAAAAGCTGCTTTCCATCCGACAGTCTTCTCGCGAAATAAGCTCTACTAACCGTGACTAACAATTTATTCGTCGTCATTGTCATCATCATCATTATCATCGTCGTCGTCGTCGTCATCGTCATCATCATCAGAATCATCGTCGTTGCCGTCGTCATCTCGATAGACACACAACGCGACAATTGGCCAAGTCGGTTATCTCGAGCGTCACAAAAAAGAAATCCGTCGCGGCATACGAGCCTTCCTCTACGATCTCTTTCCTCTTTTTACTTACTCCGGTGACCCTTTTTCATTCCTCCTGATCTACTACCCTCTCGAAATGCCGCGCAAAAGCGTTTCAAGCGAGCGCGAGACAAACGGAATAGCGAGGAAAAAACGAAGAAGAAAGAACGATACGCGGACACCACCCGAGTCACTAACCGAGTTGTTCTTCTTTCTATTTGCTCTGCCTCTCACATGTGACTCCTCGTTCCTCGTCGCCGCCGTCTCCGCCGTCACCGCCGCCGCTGCCATCGATGCCGCCATCGTTGGAAATCTCGACGGATAAAATTAAAAAAATACTTATATATATATAAAACACCCTCCCCGTGTGTTTGTAAACGTGGCGCAGTTATATCGACCCATTACCATCATACCGCTCTCCAGCGTCATCCAGGTAGGTACTTCCACCTGCTGATGGTTTACGAATGTAGTGCTCGGCGAATGCTCGACTATTCGTCACCGGAAGCGCAACAGGTGCGACAGTCGATTCTGATCTTCGCAGATTTTCCACCTTCGTACTTCCATCTAGATTTAGAGTTCCGTTTACACGAAGTATATATTATAGAACCCGATGGAACGTAAAAATTTAGAATTTTCCTTTATTTTTTATTGAAAATACAAGCAAGTAATCTCGTCTCCTTAATTTGCCTTTGAAAGATTTGCGTAAACTCGCAGCAACTCAATTTTGAATTTTTAAATTTAAATTTTAAAACATAATTATCTTACTGCAGATCTTTATCGAACGATATAAACTGATTTTAAAAGAATTTTAAACAGATGTTTTCTGCAGGAATTCTCAAATTCCGAAAAATTAATATTACTTAACATTCTTGACGCGAATCAGAATCGACTGGTATCTCTTTGCGCGATTCTACAAATAGATCGACGTTGTCTTTCACAAACAACTACAGTCGCAAAAATATAATTAAAATGTAATGAACATATAGAAAATAAAAAATAATTAATGTAAAAAACAGTATAAATAGAATTTGATAAATCTTGCACAGTAGCAAAGTTTAAGTAATTTTATAAAAAAATTAACAAAAAATATGATATAAATTCAAATGTATTTTTTTAGTTTAATCTTAAATTTCTGGACCTTAAATAATTTGAGAACTTTAAAGCTTGAAAGTAGTTACTTTTTAAAGATAAGGGTGTATCTTAAATAGCGCCCATTATATATAATTATATAGCATCCTTGTAAAAACTGAATTGAAAAGTTCTGAACCATTTTTTTTACAATCACGATCATTACTGCAGTAATGACTGCATTGATGTAGAAAAAAATAATTCAGGACTTTTTGACTCAATTTTTTATAAGGAATATTCCTGATATGATTATAGTGAGCGTTATTTAAGAACAATTTTGCTCTATCCTGTATATAATAGAAAGTAATTTTATATGTGTAATCGAAAGAAACGTTGATTAATCTTGATTTACCTGCGTTCGATAGCAATAACACCTTGCGATAATATAATAAACATATAATTTGTTTTATGTTCGAATTTTATATCTTTTTTTATATGTATAATCAACTATGATTAATTTCCGTATTGCGTGATATCACACACATCAACAGGATGTTACGCACAAAGTTTTTCGGTAATTCTAGAAAAAAAAGCACCTGCACAAAATAGATGTAACGACGCTTTGCCGCTCTCACGCTAATTAATTTCACGCGTCTCGCATTAATTAATTTCAGATCTCGATGTGTTTACTAATTCTAAAGCGCTACCTCATCGCAGTAATATTCATCTTCACGGTGTCGCGCGTAATTCAAGGTAATGTAACGCATTGCTTAATCCCCGTTGCCTCTCGTACGTGACAGACCGCGCTCATATGTTCAAAGCTTCGTAATATAATTACGCGTTGAAACCTTTCGTGTGCAATCCATGTCATTTGTCATTTGCGATCACTTGGCACGTTGCTGCACATCGCTGGAAACGCATCGAATGCTATTACGCCTTGCTATTCTTAGTCCTTCGGTGACGGCTTTTTATTTATGTAAAAAATATTAATAATGTAAATTATATATTAAATAAAATATCTATTTAATATTAAAATACATTGTAAATCTTGATAATAATGCAATATAAAATTGCGTAAAATTTTTTATTTATGTAATACACGCATTTCTGAATACTGAAAATTATTAAAAGGATTTAAGGATCCTTGGATCCTTTTAATGATACTCTTTTCAAAGACTTTTCTTCCTTTAATGATTATTGTTCTCAAGCAAAAACTTGAGGAAGTTTATCATCTCAAATTTGTTATATCAACAAAAAAACGTTTCACTAACCGCTCCTTCCTTGAATTCGACAATTTTTTCTATTTATTTTTCTCCGTGTTCTCAAAAAGCCTACGAATTTACATTTACGCGTATAATTTAACCGTCATCGAAAGGGTAAACCGCTTGATATTTTGGCTCGCAGCTCGCCGCTGCCGGGCGAGCGCGATTAGTAAAACCGAGAACGTTCGTTGCCTCCAGTTGAGGACCGTTCCTCATATGCCATACGTGGCACACAAGAGACTCGTCACCATAGTTCACTCGCCGATCCATCATGTGTACTACGCTGGCGCGATGATACCGATAAGGGTGCGAGCGCGCGTGCGGCCCAGCATCCTCGCAGCTGAGCTCAACAGGATACGCGACCTGCCGAGGCCATCTAGCCGATCCTACATTGAGGATTACCTAAATTCCCGATACAACATAGTAAGTCCGGCAACTAAATTTAATATCACCCTCCCCCTCTCTTTCTTTCTCTCTCTCTTTCTCTCTCTCTCTCTCTCTTTCTCTCTGATCCCAAATCAGCCCAATTTAGCATCATAAAAATATAACATGGTAAGATTTTGTATATCGTCGCCATTGCACGGGGATCATCGTCGTCATTTCCATCGTCATCAACATCATCATCGTTATTTTTCATCAACGTCCGTTGAACACCACGGGCGGAATCGTGTCGTTGTAACAAATGTGTTCATCCGTCTCTTTTGTAACAGATTAGAAGTTGCGGCTAAAGATTTTTGAATCATAAATTTTTACTTAGTTTTTATTCAGAATAAATCTAAATTGGATTTAAAAACTAAAAGGGTTAATGCTGTCGCCGATGTTTATAAAATTTTTTAATTAAATTTCGAACGTGTAAATTTTCAATTTTAGCGCGATTTTTATCATAATTATCAATATAATATGATCCGATTACTCATGTAATTGATGACTATCATAAAAAAAAAATCGGAGTTAAGACATCAAATTATCATTATCAAGTACCTACCCTTAAATACGTAATGATATGCGAAAAAAATAATTGCGAAATAAAAATAATAGTCTACGATGATCAAACTCTGAATGCATGCGAGAGATTGATCGACTCGTTCATACCAGTAACATATGTCTCTTCGCAGCTTTTCGACGATGAGACAAGGGACATTCGCGCGAAAGTGGATTCTCTTCTTCGACGTGTCCACGTGTTCGTGCCAAGGGCAGTGGCAAGGTATCCGACGAAAATGAAATGGTGTGCAACTAATTATTCAATTGAATTCATCGTCATTAAAATCGTTTGAATCAATTTTTAATCATTAAGAAAAAAAAAAAGAAAATTACTAGACTCCCTAGACTAATTGAATCAGTTGATATCCTGAAATTAGAATAGTCAAGATAATTCTGTGACCTCGAAGATGCAAGTACAAAAAACGTTCTAAAGTAAATACTTTTTACGGTCTTTCGCACTTCATGATTCCAAGTCACGGAATACAATTTGTTACTTTCATTCCTTTTTTTTTGTGATAAAATAATCAGCGGTCTCCTCGCCATTTTCAGCGACTTCATCGAGGATATTATCCCGGAACGTATGCGCAGCCACGACTACGTTCGCCGGTTGCTCACCGGCCGCAGCAACGCGAAGAAGCAGGTCGACTATCTGAGCTGGTACGAGGTGCCCGACCGGGGCTCGTTCGGCACCCTGGCGTGCATCAAGTACGTAGCCGGTAAACCGCAGTCCGTCCGGAAGCCGTACTACAAGGTCGCGGACCTACGACCGGCCGACATCCGCAACGACGTCAACTTCCTCAGCTACTACAGCAAGAACCGTCAGGCGGCCGCGACTGCCTGTGAGTAATCCGTCACGGTAACGAGGACGACGATGACGATGACGACGACGGAGACGAAGACGGGGATCGTATCGGCGATTCGCGCTTCAGTAAAGAGATTGCTCCAAAGAGATTGCTCTTCGAGAATGAAACGCTGATTGCTCGAGAACGATCCCATTTTGACGATGTTACACAGGGTGATCCGTACACGAAGCACGTAGTTAGAAATCGCGAGATCAGCGAGAACGGAGCGAAAAATTTTTCAAGATACATGTGATAATTTTTTTTTATAATTATGATCAAATTTAATCTTTGATGGTGCATTAAAATTAATTTCCATACAATAGCAGTTTATAATATTTCGTGATTATATATTTTTAATTATTTATAAATATGCTTCTGACATCTTCATTGGGAAACATTGAGGTAATTAATCTCGCAGAATTTCATGCAGAATTTAATTTGCAAAGAGGATATATTAATTACAGAAAATGAGTACTTTGTGAAAAAAAACAGCTACGCTACGTTCTCGCAGTTCGAGCCGATGATTTTTTTAATAGATTTGGAAAAATAAAAGACGGCCCCACGACGCCGTTGTGTGCAACTCTCTTTTTGTCTATTTTTTTTTCTCGTTCCACCACCGCCCCCGCCCCGCCCTCTCGTTTCTATTTTTTTTCATCCCTTTTGTTGAATTGGCTGGCACCTCTTGGTTTACACTGTCTAAAAACTTTTGTTTGTGCTAGCGAGCACGCGTGTGTTTCTCTGGTATTTTTTGCTGTTTTGTTGTTGGTCACACAACAATTGATCTTTTTTGTACGTCTTTTTTTGTCGTGGCTGCATTACTGTTCGATAGTATTGTGTCTAATCGTACAACAGCAACGTACACTTACCTCCCCCACGTACCCCGCATCCGTTTTTGATAATCACCCCGTCATGCAATATCGTGACACAGCGCGTTTTTATTATTATTATTATTATTATTGCTATTACAACAATTCTGCGGAAAGAAACGTGTGATATCGAATTAATCTTCACGGTAAGAGCATAAATGTCAATTTTGATTATTATAATCATTTTTGTAAAGTATAAATAAATCGTGCAATTTTCAAGTTTGCTACAAAAAATATATAATTTATTTTTATTCATTATTCAGTAAAAAAAGATCGAGTTACATATGCTCTTCCGAGGATGATCGATTCGATCATTGATTACATCGGTGAGATAGATCCATCGATTCGGCGGCGGTTCGCATACCTTTTTTTACGAACCAAAACGGACCTATTTTTTAATGCGGTATACAATCGGAAAACACACAGTGAAAAACGACATAGTGACCACAAAGAGAAACCAAATCAAAAGAAAAACGAAGGAACGAGAGAGAGCAAGACATTTACACGACGGGGACTCACCAGGCGGAAACACTGCAGACTGCAGGGATCACGTGCGCCAAAAAGCAGAATTTTGCGGCGCGTCGCGGATAAGAGCAAAAATGAGAGAGAGGAAGCAGTGCGGCTTTTTTGAACGTTTCAGGCAAGTGTTGGAGGGAGAAGGTGCCGGAGCTGTACGAGAAGCCGAGCAAGAAAAGCGAGCTCGCGGAAGAGGCGGAAGAGATGGAGGCCGCCGCCGAGGAGTGACTACCGTCGTTCATCATCACACGAACTGTGGCCCGATACCGTCCGCTTTTGCGTTCCGGAAGTGGCGTATCCGCGCGCGAAAAACATACGGCCCCCCCATCGGCGACGCGCGGAGGCTGCAGGATTGCAAACCGAAAGCGAATTCTCTTTACCTTCTTTTTACGATAAGAACTTATTCTTCGATCTTTCTTTCTTTTTTTTTAAGCGAGAGCCTTACGTCAATGAGGTTTGAATTGTTAAAGTGTATAAAAACGAAAGATAACACGGTGCTCAGAGTAGAATTTATGTTGAAAAATAACGACTTTTAAATTAGCATAAAAATCTGTAGAGAAGTGATGGCAATGAGAAGATTAGAATTTTCGAGAAACGTAACTAGATTATGTGAACACGAATATGATCTCACGTGGGATTGAATTGTATAAACTTTCATTTCAATAATAAAATATCATTTTCTGTGAAATAAAATGATGGCAAGAACTGTGCAAATATGCTAAGATCTTTTCGCGACGCGAGGAATAACCTTACAAAATGAATATAAATCAGCGTTTTATTTTCATTTTTAATTTTATCACGACAATTGAGCGACAGAAAGAGTTCGTACACATATCAGTTTTGAAATTTTATTCTCTTTCAGTTTTTTTTTTCAAATACGGTTAGGTTTTATATTCGGTTCGCAAGCCTGGCAAACACTCTCTTCGAATCATTTTACTGGCGCGTGGCTATATATCGGAGGGGTAGTTATGATCGAGAAAATCTAATATCCGTCTCCACTTTTTTATTTTTCCTTTCTTCTATTCCGGTCGTGTGCTCGTCGTCCGCTTCATTAAAGTCCAATGTGCCGATATTCGCAATAATCATAGAACGTGCTGTATTTTCCGAGCATTCTTCATTCAATTTTTACTCGATGGACTTTAATGAAATTGCGACGAGCGTGTAAAAATCGTCGTGACTACCGAAACGAGATCGTGCTCCGATCGATGCGATCCACGAAGTGGAAACGAACGCGAGAGAAAAGCAACGGAGTGCGAGAAAGAGAGATTAAAAGAAAAGGGAACCGATTAGATTGACGTGACAAAAAAAACCGCGGGACCTGCGCGCGTTTTCATAAAGAAAAAAAAAACAAAGTGATAAAAAATTTGGACTAACTCGATGTTGCACGTATTGCATATCATGATGTTCGTCACTGTTTCGATTTTGTAAATCCTGTTGTGTTCGTGCTTGTGAGATAGCAATAAAAAAAAACATACGAATAAAATAATAATGTCCGGTGAAAGCGAGTCTCCAAGTCAATTACTTTACTTTGCACGAGATAGAAAGAAAGACAGAATAATGGAAACGTAGATGAGCTGCTAACGAATAAATGCACTGTTTCCGAGGTAAGCTTCTTCGTGTGCTTCGTAGTTTAACCAACGACGTCTCATTTTGCCTCTGAAATCCACACTATTTGTGGAATCGATTAAGATTAACGCTTTTGAGGAGAAAAAAAGACGAATTACTCCTGAATAATTGTTTCAGTACATTTTAAAAATTCTGTTTAAAAAATACATTTCTTTGGAAATAAAAAGATTTGAATTTTAACGAGAGCTTCTATTTCAATCGGAATGCGTTTAATAATTATTTTCTCAAAGTTCTTTAATTTTTGACGCAACGCATAATTTAACGTAATGGTATATAAATACACGTTAGAAATTATATACAACTGAGAAAGATTAGAACATAAAAAGTTACTTAATTGTATAATCTGATCATGAGGTATCTGGTTTCAGAGGCAAAAATCCGACAAATCAATCACTAGATGTGACCGAGTGTGATCTCTAACGTCACGCTAATCGAACCGTGACGATCAGTGAATCATCTTCACAAGAAAAGACGAGAATTGCGATTTCATTAATTACCGACCTCATTGACGATAAGTCATCGACGTATGCGATATTTGCGCGTCATCAAAAATGAGCTCGATGATTCATCCTTAATCCTCAGAACGCTCCATCCATCGTTAATACTATCTACTTATAATTTATTTCTCTTTTTTAGTCATTCGTCGCATATATGTACATAAAATCGTATATACATCTGTTTCTACATGATCTGTAATTAACTAACGAACATGCCTCATCAAATGCTTTTCACATCAATATTGTATTGTAATCACAGTAATCGCTTTCTAACGTCACGTTCTCTCTGCGAAGCCTTTATCGCTTCCTTGGGTTTACGTCACGAGCTTCAAAAGAATCCTTTGTCGCTAATCGATCCTTTATGTTTCATGTTCACCCCACAGCCCCCGGTCAGCCAATGACAGAACGAGAGATGCGAAAGGGTCAGTAGGCACACACGAAGTAATTTAATAATCCTTTTTGAGATGACAAAAGAGTAAAAGTTCAGTAGAAAAAGTCGCAATCGTGGGGACGTTTTTACACTTTTTACAGAAAATAAGTTTCACAATTTAAATTTTAACATTCACAGAGAAATAAATTTTACGTCACGTGAATCACGTCAAATGTAGGATACGACCCGTGCATTACAATTCTGCATAAGCATATAAAATTATTTTCATACGCCATACTTCACATTTAATACATATTAACATTTCAGTCTTTGAAATTGACGAGAGTACATGAGAATATGCGAAAATAATTCGATGCAATATAAGTAAATGTTATTAAATTTTGTAACAAAATTATTTAACGTTTATATAAATATAATTAATAATTGATGCAGAGATATTAATTCCGCAACTTTGATACATTCGTCAATAAGATTAAATCATTTTAAGTTCTTCAAAGTCATTTAGAAATTTAATTTTTTTTGTTTGTAATTGAGTAATGTTTTACGGCCCTTTCTTTGTATCTCCCACGTCTAAACGTCTTCTCACAATTTTTAGTACGCGCATTAGGCTACGACTCGACGGCCCAGGAAAAGAAAGGTAGGTCTCCATGTAAAATGACAAAATCCAGATCAATTCCCTCGTGTCACTTGTCGTTCACGTTCACCCTGTGACGTAGCTCCCGCTCCGGAATCGGAAACAAAGCCGGAGAAGAAAGCGAAAAAGAAACCGGAGCCGGAGGAAGAGCCGGAACCGGTGCACGAGCCGGAGCCCGAGCCGGTAAGAGAACCTGAACCGATTCCCGAACCTGAACCGGTGCCCGAACCTGCGCAAGAACCGGAACCGGAACCGATTGCGGAACCTGTGAAACCGTCGAAGCCGGCGAAGGCATCGAAATCGGCGAAATCGGCAAGACCGGCGAAAACGGCCGCATCTAAGGCGGAACCGGCGCCGGAACCCGAACCGGAACCCGTGAAAGAGCCAGAAGTCACAAAGGAACCAGAGCCCGAGCCGGTGCAGGAGCCAGAACCGGTGATGGAAGCAGAGCCTGTTTCAGAGCCCGAGCCAGAAGCGCCGGCGGAACCGGTCGCGGAGGCCGTAAGTGACGAAGCTGAGGAAGAAAAGGGTACGTTGATATCTCTACGGTCGATACTGCGGGCCGGAAGTATTCCATTTCGGCGGCCGGAAACGAGCCTGTCACGCGAACGGTGGATACCTTTTGGTATCGGTCGGCGGCGTGGCGTAGGCAGACGGTCGATCGTTGGTCTGGTTGTCGTTGCTAACAGCATCTCCCGTATCGATCGCACGAGGATGAATGTGTCTAGTCTAGATAGCGTCCAGTGTCTCTCTCGCCCGTTTCTCGTGATAAATGTCTTCCTCGTAAAAATGGCGTCGAGATTGCCACGCGAAGTGTCCCCCGATAATCCCATCCAAAATTATTGTATTTTACATAAGACCATGTCGGTGTTGGGAATAAATATAATCGCGACGGATAAACCGTCCACGTGTCACGATGCACTTTTAACGCACTCCTGAATGTGAAACTGGACTGCCTCTATAATTTTGCATCCTCTATCTGAAGACTATCCATTTAATAGCATTAATTTTAACTCATATTAAACGACGGCTGCGAAATTAATATGAATATTAATATTAATGGCTACTTTGGTGCAATTACCGAGGCATTTAATTAAAATGGTTAAATTAATTTTAAAATCGATACTCGTTGAGATACTTTTATAATTTCGCGTTTGTGTGCGACAGATTGGCAAATGTAAAACGAGTAAAGATTTCAGCGTCACTTTCATAGCATTAAATATGCGTCGTGAATTTCATGAAATCTCTTATCTCCATTATTGATATTTTAATGAGACTATATTGCAGTGAAGCAAGACAGAGAGGATGCCATGAGACGGGCTGAGGCGTACCTCGCTAAGGCGGCTCGGGAAGCGCAGTAAGTGATTTTCGTTTAAGAGCGACACGCGCCAGCAGAACAAGCCAATCGCGCGAAAATAATCACCTGATATATAAACGCGGTCGTTTTGCGTAACATTAGCATTGAACTCGGCCAAATAACCCGTTATACGACCCGCGACAATTGACTTGCCAAATGTCTGACCTTCGCTCACCGTTCGTAAAACGTCACTCGGTTCGAAAACACGTGATTCGGTGTAGTAAGAAATTATTAAGAATATTCGATTTTTATGTAATAAGTAAATTTCAAACGAAAAATAATAAAACGTCTGTTATTATTTCTAAGATAATTGAAGTCAACGTGCGGTGATCAGCTGTTCTATAGAATAATTCCAAGCTTGGAATAATATAAGTATAATGTATGTCCGTGATGGTGCTAATTTTAGACGCAACATAAAAATGTTTTGTATAAATTTTCAACAGGAAACTCTCCTGGAAAAAATATTCGTATTCACGCGGCTTATAATTTTATCTTGCGAGATATGCGAGAAACGCGCATCGAAAAATCTGGAATGCGAGCTTCATTAAAAAAAAACTTGATGGATAGCCTACACACGCGCGCGTACATGCACATACACACACCGACGTGTTATCCCAGTTAGCGATTCTAAATATTATAAATCGTGGTTACACGTTATTCTCGCATATAAAGTGTCTCATGTGAATTTTATTCAAACGTTATCGCATACGCTTGAGACGGAAAATTCAGATGACGTTGAGATGAGGAACAAATTGCGGATTTAGGAGTTGCGAATTAATATTTATATGAAAAAAATGATAAGTTTTCAAATCGATAATTAATATCAAAATATATATAACAATATTTCTATTTTCTCTTATCACATTTAGACTTCAAATTCTTATAAAATGCGCATTTTTAAAATTTTCTTTACAAAATGATTTTTATTTTTATTTACGTTCTATGTCGACCTTCGCTTGCCTGTCGCATCCGGGCACTTTCGCCAATTGCGAATAACTTTGTTTTGAAGATCGGAAGAGGAAAGGCGGCAGGCCGCGGAGGAGGATCGCCTGCAGCTCGAGATGGAGGAGAGGAAAGCGTGGGAGGCGTTGCAGCTGGCGCAGGAACGGAAAGCCGAGCTTTCCCAGATACTGGAAATCGAGCAGCAGGAAGTCGAGAGGAAGGCGGAAGAGGCAAAGTTGCAGGCTGAACGCGAGGAGGTGGAGAGAATAGAGGAGGGGGAAAGGTAAGCTCGTTACTTAGAAGAAAGCTCCCGGTAGTGATTCGCGAATTGTCCTTGATAAAAAAAGTGCCGTGCATAAAGCAAGCTTTTATTTCAACTGAAATTGTCGGCTGAGAATATTAATAATTAAAACGAAGAGAAAGATTACTTGTGTACAATTAAAATTATTGCAGAATATATATATATATATATATATATATACACGGAAAGAACGATTTTGCTGGAAGACCAAAAAAAAACCTGAAAATAATTTTTGTTACGTCATCATCAAAATAATTTTGTTCGAAAGTCAAAATGATTGCTAAAATATCAAAACTTTTTATAGCAATGCTTATTATTCTTCAGTTTCCGACAAAATATTTTGATGATGACGTAACAAAAATTATTTTCAGGTTTTTTTTTGGTCTTCCAGCAAAATCGTTCTTTCCGTGTATAATTTAGGTAGAAAATTACATAAATATTAGCAGAACTTATAGTGTGATCCGAATACTGATATATATGCAACTTTATACCGTTTTGCATCGCTGGAATCTAATTCGCTTTCTGTCAACAGATTGCTTAACCAGGCGCAGCTCGACGCACTCGTACAGGAGCAAGAACGACAGATAATCGAGGAACATCTCGAAGAAATTCAAAATCAAAAGCAGGAGCAGGAAGAGGCGGATGTCGCGCAGTTTGCAGCCGGTGACAATGTAGACGTCAGCTGCGCCGAGGATCCGGCGGAGTTTGGCGAAGTAACTGATCAGGAGAAGGAGGAGAAGCCTTGCGATGTTATCACGGATGACGAAGCACGGGTAAACAGTCATTTAAGCGTCGTGAAAATCTACACCTAATTTCATTTAAAAATTCCCTTAAACTTTGTTGATTTTTACTCAAGATGAACAAGTTTTTTTTTCTAAATCCATATAAATAATATGAAGATAATATTAAGATGTTAAAGATTAGACAAAAATGTTAGATCATGCTAAGCTCTTAGAACTCCTTTAAATTCAGATATGTATTTAGTAGCTTCGTGTCCAAATGTCTTATTGAATTTCTCTGGGGAAAGGTTCGAGTTTGGACTCATTTTAGAACCGATAGTTGAAGAGTGACTTTCCGGAATACCGTCGAATTGAATTCACAAGGAATTCGCCTTTCAGGTCGAAGAGGAAAATGTCCACGAAGAGGAGCCCGCCGAGATTGCCGAAGATCCGTTCGTCGAGGAGCCGGACGGAGTTAAGAGCAAGCCGCAAACGGGGCCGATGGCTGAGGCTGAGGATGGACCGCAGATCGAGGAGGTTACTTCCGGCGAGGAATTCTCCTGGGGTGATCAGGACTCGTAATTGGTTCGGACCGTTTTTCGCGGCGTCGATGGACCACGTTCCTTTACCGTCATCGTTCAACTAGGACTTAACGCGCCTTCGTTTATCATTCTGTCCGCGAGTGTCACTTAATCCATCGTCATTGCAGATAATCGCCGATCGGTGACACGACGGAGAGATCTTAATTAATTTCCTTTTTATTAATCTAATCCTTCCTATCAATTTATTTATTCGTAAAAGTGCACACTATACTTCAGTCCAGTTCAGTTTCACGTTTCATCAGCGCACGTACATTTCGCGAATCAATTTCACGCGTCGCATCGCGTCGATCATATCAGACGAACTCGCGTGGATCAATATGAGTTTAAAAACCGTGGGATTTCTGGTATAGCTATATTTTTATTAGCTAATCTCAAGAAGGACCCGCGATCGGAGACTCGCCCGATAGTCTCGTCCGATCTGCGCGTATTTATTTCATTATACCGACCGCACACCCCTTTCACATTACATCCCGCATCGGAGAGCGGCAACCCGTGGATCGAGTCTGACACACGTATCGATTTCCGTTGGTCTGCCGGCGGTGGTGATTCGTTTATAGTCTCGGATAGTAATCGGGTAGAAATATCGCGACGTATTTTAGCCGTCCATTCGGCAGTCGATGCAGTCGAGCTGGCTTCGCGTCGTCGTCTATTTTTACAGTAACAGCTTCGAGTTTCAGCCATGAAATTGGTTTGACTGCGATTGTCCGAGCGATCGATCGGAAGAAACGAGGATTCCGGAAATAATCGCGAGCACGATTCGTGAATTAGCGGCCATCTCGTGACTCTGGTCGCTGCTCGGCAAGTGGCATGTCTTCCGAGATACTTATGTTAGTCTTACTTATTATTAAAACGATACTACCATGTATACCTATGTTATAAGAGTGTGGTAATAATAAGAATGATTCAATGTGGAATCTCGCTCCGTGATTTAACGACAGGTCTGGAAAAGCTCGGTTTTTCCAAGAAAAAGTGTCGTGAAAAAAAATTTGCGGAGCTAGGAATGCAATGACGTACGGTCGCAAGTACAATTTTTTTAATTAATTAAACCCGAGGTATAAAGTTTTAATGTTTTATAAAAGTTTCATGAGATTCCCTGGCACAATAGAATCAAACGAATATTTGCGATATGCAAAACATGCTTATTATCATTTCATTTCGAAGAAAACGTCTTGCTGTTTTTTTTTTGTCGCGAATCAAGATTAAAATTAGATGTAAAAAGCTGCACAATCTGTAAGATAATCGACGTTGTGTGCTGTGCATGAATAAAACAGGAAAGTACTTGGCAAGGTACTTAATGAATAATGAACTTGTTCATATTCTAGTTATATGTTTCTGTATTTAATGCGCAATGGAAATTCGTAGCACGCAATGTGTACCCACGCAACGCCTATTTTGTTTATGATTCAAGACAATAAATATATAAATGGTAATGTTGATTTATTTATTTTACCCCGCATATTTAATAAAGAGAAATATCACAGAGGAAAATTTGACATTATTACGCAATTAATATCTATTAATACAATTTCCGATAATTTCTGAAATTTTGAACTTTTCAGTATTTTTGTTTTATTATTTTAATTGTTATTATGACATTTTCTATGATAATTTTTTATTTTTTTAAATTGTTTTAATTGTTATTGTTTCAATAATCAATAATTGATGTTAAAATTTAAGGGGAAATAAAAACAAAAATGTGTGCAGTGATTTCAAATTCAAAACGCAGATTATGCAAGAAACAAAATTGTCGTATAAAATCCCTGAAGTAGCAGGAAAGACACTTTTCTTTTCGGATATATGTTATACACGGATATACGTTGTTCATCCGTGTTAACATTCCTTTGGGACATCTCGCAATCGTTCACCCGCCGCAAAATCGACCACAGTGGGGAAGAGGACGCGCTCGGAAGTATAGTAAATCCCGGGTTCGTAAACTTATCGTCGTATCGGACACGCGGCGCATTTTCGCGCAGCGTGTCTCGCGGATTATTTCCCGCGATATAAACACGCGGGGGGAGGGGAGGAGGGGAAGAGCGGCGCGTTTCGGTCGCCGGTCGAGGGTGATCAAATGAAGTGGGCCAAGCCGTGTTTGACTCAAAGGGAGACCCCCGAACGACACGGGCGGCTTCAAAGCAAAAACGAGGTTGAATATGTGTGCCAATGTGCCCAATGCTAAGCCCAAACATCGAGCGCGCGCGGCTGTAGGTGTATGTGCAAGCTGTGCGTCTACTGTCACTGCACAGAGCCGCGCCAGTAATATTGCGGTTCTTACGTCGACTCGGTCTACATGTGTATGTATGTGTATACGTAAGTGTATATATATATATTGTGTGTATATATATTATATATATTATACATATATGTTTGTATATATATATATATATATATATATATATGAATATATATACACATATATACATAATGTATAATGTACGCGCAGTCGAGCAAAACGCGCCGCTGGAACGAAATTATTTATAATCGAGACGCTTCTATCGCATGGCGCGCTTAATCAATGCGCGCAAAAAGCCCCCCCTCCCCCTGCTAAATTAACAGACTCTAAAACCGGCGTTGCGTCAACCGGCAAACCGCCCGGAGCTTTTTGCGAACCGTATCCGCTGCTGCGAAAGAGACGACGGTCGGGCGATATTATATATTAAGGTCATCGCGTATCTATCCCGGGATTTCGTGAAGATTGCGTTTTGCGGTTTTCGACGAGCCGGTCATGTCAAAAGTTAAGCCTTATCTCGTCGCTTTGAAATTTTCTCTTTTATTCCCCCTTTAATCCTTTTTTTCTTTTATCTCTCTCTCGCCGTTTAATTTTGTTTTCTTTCCGCGGCGAAATATTTCCGCGAGCACTACAACGCGAATACAAGTTTTCGTATCGAAATACAGATATATTCGTGTGTGAGCGAACCGACTGATCCCTCGGCAAATAACTCGGAACACCAAGCTGACCTAATTTATCGCGGAGTTAATAACTCGCGGCGGTCGCATTTTCTAAAAGTCATTCAGTTGAGAAACAGCAATAAGACGACTACCGTTGTCGTGCTAATCCCTTGACGCGATTAACTGGGAGTCGTAGAGCTTTCGAGCGACCGATTTCCCTTCTTTTTATATCTCCCCTCATAACGGCCTTGATGCCTGATATCGTTAAGCCAGGCTCATTAATCTGGATGAAACCTCGTGGGTGTGCGGAATGACCTACGCCGTGAATCACTTTCGCCCTTTAGAGATGTGACGTTAGATCCCGAAAGTATAAAAAGCGATACTGCTATACGAACTGTGATATTCATGCATCGCCACGCTCTTTTTTTTTCGCGTACGCAATTTTTCAATCTTTGTTATTACGAGCGACTAAATTGCAGTTACTTTCTCGCGGGCGCTTTATTATCGCGTCCTTCAACCTCGCGCAACTTTGACGTCTTCTGGAGTCGATATAACGCGAGAAACAATGACATACGACAACGACGCCGGCGGCGGCGACGACGACGACGACGACGACGACGACGACCACGACCACCGTGATGGGGTTGTGTGAGTTGCGTCATTACCCCGAGGATCGAATGTGCGGTTTCCTTTGGAAGTCCAGGAGGCAAAAGGGGAAAGAGGAGGAAAAGCGCGTGGGCGAGAAAACCGCCGGCTGCCATAATCGTGCGATTCACGGCTGTGCAGTCCGCTGGCAAACGAGCGGTTTTCTTCTACCGTCGGGGAAAACACGACGATTACCGTCGACAATTGCCGTGTTTTGCGATCGGCGAGCAACGGCCAAGGGTAACGATAGGGGCCTCCCATCAAATCACGACGATTTATATCGTGACCGAGAAATCCTTGCCGATTATATCTGGGTTTCTGGGATAAAGAATCGCCGTAGAGAGAATCCATAAGAGACCGTGCGAGCAGTCAATATTTCAGTCGGAAATTTGCCCTGATTTATGTAGGCCGTGCGCTTACATCTGCATTATTACGTCTTGTGGTAGGCGATCTTATTTAAGCTCCGCCTGCATGTGTGACGTTTATTTTTTCGCGATCGATATCGTTTTTAGGCTCCATAATTCCGGCAAACACATTAATATTAAATTTCGTTAACAATTATTAATGATATTTTAATCCTTATTACATAAAAACGATTCTGTTAATCAAATAATTAATCTATTTTGTGAAATTTTTTAAAAGTAATACTGTTTTAAATAAGGACTGCTCTATATTTTTTTTTATTCCAAATATATATATAATTTAAAAATAAATTTTTATAAATTACACATAAAAAACATTTAATTTTATTTAAATTCAAAAATTTTCAATTTTTAAGCTACATTTATAAAATTTACATTAAATTATATTTAAATTAATTTTATTTTATTTAAATAAAATGTTTTAAAAATGTATTTTTGATAAACGTATAATTAGTTCACATTCAAATTTCGCAAAAGTTAAATATTATTTTAATTAAGTATTAAATAATATTCCATATTATATTGTGAAATTAATTTTTCATATTTCATATAACCGTAAAAATAAATCATGTTTTCTTAACGGAGAATGTGCTGAATGGAAAAAAAAGTAAGAAAAGACAACCGTATGTCATCGTCAAACGAATAATCGCCCTAAACGTCCGCGTGCCGCCGAGCGTCATAATTTTCGGAAGTGAGCTCCAAGATTAGCGGCAATTGACGTCACTCGTCGCGACAATAAAAAGAGGGACTGGCGCGGGTTTCGCGAGCGTCATGTACATATCACTGACAACGAATCGCCGCGATAGCGAACTGCGGATGTAAACCGCGCTAGCACACTGCAATGGGTGCACCCCCTCCCATCCCGAATGCGTTAGCAACAGATTGACGAATTTGTTGTTGCTTTGAGCCCTCCATCAACGCTTGCCATGATATCATTTTCTTTTGCCAAATATTTTATAAAGAAGAAAACCACGTATTTTGTATGTACGTTCCCCTTGAGAGCTGCAAAATGTAGCGAAATATTCGCGTCCCAACGTGATTTAACATAGTAATACATATAACTAATTAATTTAATTTGCATTTATGGTACGACCAGCTTTCAGCGTGTTATAATAGAGTTCATTAAGTTGATTTAGTTGTGAAAGGACCCTCGGTTCGCAAAGCGACAAGGATACCTCGTTCTATAGGACGATAATGATCCTGTTCGTTAAGTCTCGGCGAAGTATTTACGCAAGTATTGCACAACGTCAAATGACTTATTCTCCCCTGAGGACAGATTAAAGAGATCGTCGATGTTTACCGTTCAGTATTCCGCTCTGTTTCTCGTTTCACACGATTTTTGCGTCAAATCTCATTTGATATTCAAAGAAAATAATGGAGGACAATTCTCTCTATGAATTTTCCACCGTGAAAGAGCAAAAGAGAATGCAAGACAAACTGAATAAAATTTAACAGAAATCAGATATACAGTCTGTATTAGAAATATTTTATACCGCCAAGCGTTAAGCAGAGTCAAACGTAGTTTTCATGTTTCTGTCAGTTCTCGATTTGACGTTGACATATCTATTGTATAATTTCTTTTTTCTGTCGCTCTGGAGCGGTTCACCCGCATTTTACAAATTTCAGTCGATTGTGTATTCTCTTTGCGAGCTTCTCCTTCGCGTAATATTCACGTCGCACCGGACCGCCGTTTATCTCTCTCCAGCTTCCAGTAGATTTTTCAACATTTCCTTCGACAGGCGTCTACGCGCGCGCGACTTTCGCGATCCGAACGTATATCTCATTCCTTCCATGCGCCGCCAATATAACTTCTCTTGCGTCACACATCCATCATTATTATACATGCCAAAACCTATCTCCGCGATGCCGTTTGTAAGTTCGGACGCATTCGCGCGCGCGGACTTTAGACGTTTGAAACTAATTTATGCGATCGTATATTTTTATTGGATTACATTTTTTTTTCGGCACTCCTCGCAGAGGCTATTCTTACATCGTTTTTTATTATTAATAAATTACAGACGCTGCTCGTGCGAGACGATTAAAGTTACGAAATCATTTTTTCCCGTCGGGAGCACGGTATTCGCTATTTTCGACTCGTCAAACACGCGCGTACATCTTTTTCTTAACGAGCTCATTTCTGAAAGATTTTCCCTCTCCCCCTCACCCCCCGTATGCCGTATCTGTCGCAGTTAAATCGTCTAGACTAAGCGGGATCCCCGATCGTAGTCGAATTTAATGGGGGACACGATGAGACGCGACGGGAGACGCGACAGGCGTGGATAGGTCATAAAATTACTGATCCCGGGAATATATGGGTCGCGAATTTTTCGTAGCCGTTCTCTCTTTCTCTCTCTCTCTCTCTCTCTCTCTCTCTCTCTCGTGAGAATCTCTCGTGTCATGGGGAGAAGAATCTTATCTCGTGAACGTAAGAATATCTTCACGGAACTTCTTTTCACGGAGAAAGAGGGGAGGAGAGG